GTTTATACATCGAAGGGTCATGTTAGCTGTTTTAGCCAGTGTTACATTGGAGGCTCATGTTAACTTGGTTGTAGACGATAAACCTGAAATCCTTTTAGGAGTTTTTGCTTTCTGTTGTACAAATTCCCCATCCTGTAAGTGTGGACTATACTTTTGTTCCTTGATTTATGATTGCACTTAGCTGTACCAAAATGAACTTCGCTCGTTTGCGTCCTATCTTACCAAGCAATCTAGATGATACTGTATAACAATCTCTTTATTGACTATCCCACCAATCTGTCATCTGCAGAGTTTAACTCAAAGCAGTGGTTTTGTTTCCCAGATTATTAATACAAATATTGAATAGCATTAGGCAGAGAATCAATCTACATGAAACTGTACTAGAAGCAGCCATGTGCAGACTCCTGTTGATTTCCTCAGTGGCAATTATATTTTGAGATCTCTTGAGCTAATTATAATCCAATTAATATATGCCATGTTGATTTTTGTATAATGCTAAGTTTTAGTAATATCAATTCAAATACCTTTTAGAAGTCTAAATATATTATGTTAACACAGCTGGCTACATTTCTCAACCAGACTCCATAAACTTGTGAAGTTGATTTGACAAGATATATTTTCCATGCAAGCATGTTGATTGGCATTAAAGATTGGAAATATTGTTTTTTATTGCTGAGTCCCTTAGTAGTAGTTACATTATTTTTTTAAAATCCATCCCAGCTAAGATAACAGGCATATAATTACCTGGATCATCTTGTTCATCCACTGGCTTTCTTTCCCCTTCTCTTCCTGCCATTCCCAATTCACATGTAGAGTTTCAGGATAGCAGGCTCTAGAAAGTCTGATGCATTTATGCTCTATCTTCCCCAGCAGTGGCTAGCCAGGCAGCGCTCTTATCACAGAGGTAAGCAGCAATGGTAAAGGGAGACAGAGGGAGCTGTGCTATATAGTAGAGCTGGTCGGATATTTTTTGACAAAATAATGTTTATCAGAAAATGCAAAATTGTCGAAACCAAAACTTTTCACAGGAAAGAGTTGGTTTCAGTCAATTTTCTGTTTCTGAAACGTTTTCCAATTGTCAAAAATTCCATTTGGACATATTTTTGAAATTAAAAAAAAATTTTTTTTTGGTTTGAAATTACTTTTCCACTTGAAATGTAAGTTAATTTATAGTAAAAAAAGTAAAACAACATTTAAAAACCTGAAATAAAAGTAAATGTTTTAAAATTATAAAACAAAATGTTTTGATTGTTAATCTGAAATTTTTTTTTTTTTTGATTTGCAAAACTCAGCTTTTTTTTTTTTTTTTTTTTTCCCCCATCCCAATACAGGATGTGAAAATTTTTCAAAATCTTAAAATCTTGTGGGTTGGGGAAACCATCAACTGTGTTGCATATTGACCAGCTATCAAATGAAGTGAAAGGGTGCAGTAGGAGGGCTACCCTGTAAAGTATACGAGCTAGATTAGGGTGAGAACCAAGATCTCGGTGAAGACTAAGGGAGACGAATTGTTACTGAGTCAGCTCTGCAGAGCTTAGAAGAGGTGGCAGCGAAGACCTGATGCCTGCTGCACTCCTTACCCCACCACTTCCTGAACAATGCCATGACAGCAGCCAGTTGTAAATTTTAAGTGAGGAGACAGGAAGTCCAGAAGATAGGCAGTGACAAGTGTAAGTGCACGGCTTATGCCGTTTAGCACTGAAGTTCAAAGCTACTATTCCTGCAACTCTTTGGTCTCCTAACACATTTTACCCAAGTGCAACTGGAGTACAAACAGTGGTCCGGATTTTCCAGAAGTACTTAATTCCAGTTCAGCTTTTTCATTAAATTGTGTTTGCAGCCTAAAGTAGTCTGACTGCACCACTTTCCTCCTCCTTTTGTATTTTGACTTCCTGGTTTTAAAGTTGAAATCTTAAAACAGAAAAATCAAGGATTTTAAAATATAAAGTTCTCACAGCAACATACTGGGGTTGGGTGAGATTTGTAAAGTGCACTAACATGCTGTTTGCTGGCTGCCCTGTGTAGATCTAACTGGCATGCTCTAAACGGTACCTAGTTTGCGTTAACGTAGTCTTGTTTCACATAGACTGTTAATGCAAAGTGGTATCCTTTTAAAGCGCACCAGCAGGATTTCCAGTGTGGCAGTCCCGGATGCTTTACAAATCACACCCTTCTAGTGCTCTGCTGGCATCATGGAGGCAAGCCCACTGTAGTTTAGGGCTTGAAAAATGTATCAAATGAATGCCAGAGGACTGAACCTGCTAAACTAAACCCAAAGTGTGGTTGTGACTTGCCCTAATCCAAAATTAGCTTCTATCACCCGTCCACCCCCAATTTGGAAAAGAAAAGCACAAAAGTATTTAAATCACATACACTATGTGATTTACTTTAAAAATGCTTACAAATAAAGTCCACACATTGTCCAAAATGAACTTTGTAATTCTGTATTGAGCCCCCAGAATAACTGTTTAGTGTTTGCCTTTTAGATACCAATACAGTTTTACCAAATTAATTTGCTTTTTAAAGCCTTGGACTGTTCTGAAGTCTTTATTAAACTAATCAGACTGTGCCAAATACACACTTTGATTGGTGCTACACTGACTATAGAAATGGATGTTACTAAAAAACTGACAATTTTGATTTTAACTATCCTGTCTGATGATTTTACTTCCACAATTTTATACCACTTCCATGCAGTAAACTCTGGCACAACTTCCTTTACAAACAGATTTGGGGTAGGCATTTGTATCTTTAATTTTAAATAGTAGACATTATGTTCTGTCTGTCACCTCTTCTTCTGCTGGACTCTGCCTATGGGCTTGGCTACACTTGCGAGTTACAGCGCAATAAAGAAGCCCGGTGCGCACTAGCTCACTACCCGTCCACATTGGCAAGGCACGTAGAGCGCTCTGATTCCGCGGCTACGGCGCTGCTGGTACTCCACCTTGGCAAGTGGAATAATGTTTGCTGCGCCCGCGCTGGAGCGCTGCAGCGCCAGTGTAAATGAGGTGTTGCTTTACTGCGCTCTGAATTTACAAGACAGCATGCTGACATGCTCTCAGCCCTCGAAAAACCCACTCTCTCTCCCCCCACATCTACACAACACACTCACTGTCACACTCTACCCCACCCCACCCCCATTTGAAAAGCACATTGCAGCCACTTGCATTCTGGGATAGCTGTCCATAATGCACCTCTCCCAATGCCGCTGCAAGTGCCGCAAATGTGGCCCCGCCAGTGCGCTTGAAGCTGTCAGTGTGGACAGACTGCAGCGCTTTCCCTACTGCGCTCTACAAAGGCTGGTTTAACTCAAAGCGCTCTGCATCTGCAAGTGTAGCCATGCCCTAAGTCTTGTGAATTTGGATTCAGTCATGCAGACTACATAATGGAAAGATTCCATAGCTGCTTTGAATATTTTCTTGATTTTTGTGCTTGTATGGTTCCAGTTCTCTGTTTAACTGTAACAAGCAAGATTTTCCCTGGCACTCTGACAATGGAGCTATCAGCCTGTGATCTGTCAAGTCTCTCAGAAACCTCCTTTCATTGTTTTTGTAAGCTTATTAACTTTGTGTATAGTCCCTTAAACAGCATGCTATATTTTGATCAGTTACCATACTTATACTCCGTGCAGATTTGAAATATAGGGTAATTTATAGCAAATGTAGAGACATAATTCTGTTTAGGTTCTTGAGATTTCATTCATCATTATGGTATCTGGGAGTTCACAATATCGTCATAAATTTAGGCATTAATCCTTCTTTTTCAATACCAACCATAATGTTAAATGAAGGAGATAGTGAAAAGAATTTTTCAAAGTTGCACAGTGTGTATGAAGACTGTTTGCTATCGCTACCTTCTCAATAAGGTTTCACTTTATTTTGTTGTCTGAGCAAATAACAAAGATCTTGTCATACGTTTATCTGCATTCTTGAATGACATCTTCAGCTACTTTGATCAGGACAAAATATGTTGCTGTTTGCCTTTCCGACTAGAATAAATAAAATTAGGGAGGAATTCATTCTTCCCTTATATGGATGTTTATAGCTATTATCCAGTCATTTATCTTGTTTGACCAACTGTCTTGTATTAATGTCGTTGATTCTTTTTAGTTTTGTTTATTTTTTTTCTCCACTACTTCACTTACAATGACTAATAGTGGACCTACACATTTTTAAATCTGTCTGGAGGAGTATATCCAGGTTTGAGTGGTGCAGTCATTCCTTTAAATTTCTCCTCTTGTACTACACTGAAAGTGTAAAAATTCATGATTTTCTTGGTTTTTATGGCATAATTGCCAGTTGATCTTTGCACAAACTTATGAAGAGCGCTGGTTGAAGAGCTTTTCTGGAAGATGTGGAATAGGGCCTTCAATTATCAGTTTCATTTTGATGCCATACTGTTACAGAAAATGTCTCACTCATGTTCTCTTACATTTCACTAGACAACACTTTACTCAGTTGCACATGTGATCTTAAAAAAGAATCCAAATAAACTGATTTTCTTCATTTCTCGGTGAACATGAATCCTTTTTCTTGCTGCTTAACAACTCCTGAAAATATTTTACCTTGGAATGGCTATTGGTTTTCATTCCTTAAGTCTAGTCACTTGTTTTTTTAACTTTTGGGTATATTGAGATAGAAATTCATGCTGGTATTCGGTAATCAATCGTTTGCAATATTGATCGGTGTTGGGGCAGCCTCAGAGAACTCTTCCACTCAAGAATTCAGTTAGGCTCTGGTCTCGTCACTCAGGTTCTTATATTTGGCATACAGCAAAGCAATTCTAAATTGATCAGACTCAAATGTGGATGTGTGGTGGACCTGTGCCACCCCCTAAAGTTACACAGCAAACCTCTTCCTTCATATACATTTTGCACATGACATTGCATGTACTACACATTGCATCACACATTTTGGGGTTGGCTTGGTCGCTCTGTAGAGCATGCAGCGTTCACATACTGTGCATGCACAACTTACGCTTTACCTCATCTTACATTTCAGGCTTATTTTGTCCATTGTAAATGGTTCCCTGGGTGTTCGCTCTTACTTGAGGTATGTCTACGCTTAAAACACCGCAACAGCACGGCTTCACTGCTGGCAAATACGCTGCTGTAGCATGTCAGGGTAGATGCTACCTTTACCGACTGGGGGATGGGGAGTAGGGGGGGTTCTCCTGTTGGTCCAGGTAATCCGCTTCGCCAAGAGGCGATAGCTAGGTGGACAGAAGAGTTCTTCCATCAATTTGGCGCTGTCTATACTAGAAAATTGGGTTGGCTTAACTATGCTGTTCAGGGGTGTGGATTTTTCACATCACTGAGCCACATAGTTATGCTGACCTAATTATCTGGTGTAGACCAGACCTCAGTTAGTAAAGACATTCTGTTTCCAGCCTGCTGATCCATTTACTTCCCTAATCCTGTCTCCCAAGAAATGAGGCCTCACCCGTGTCCAGTAACTCGTGTCAAGCCAGGGTTACATTCCACTGCTTTTGTTTTTCTTTTTAATATTAGCATTTGTTTTATTTGTATTTTTGTTTTTTGTTCTTTTTTAAAGTATACTATTTAGCAACACATTTTGAAGATTATAGTAGTTGTAATTATTTGAATTACTATTAATAGTAGTCTTAAAGTACTATCCGGGGGTGTAAACTAATCTCCTCTGATATAGCCTACTTGGGTATAATTTTACATTGCAAGCTTGCTTTGTATTCAAAGCATTTTTTTATTTTAATTTTGCTTTTATTAATTATAAAATTGGTATAACTATTTTAAAATATGCATTACCATAGGAAATGTAGATGTGAAACAGAACATAGGCTAAATAAAATAACACTCCCTGGGATCATGCCAGAAATGGTCTTTTTTAGCCACCACACAATTCTTGTTAATAGCGTAGGCAGTTTTTACTTTACCAGCATCCCAGTGTCTCAACTGTACTGTGTAGTTTAGAGACTGTTCCCCCAGAGTAAACCCACATGCTGGCTGCTCCTGTCTGTGAGACATTACACCTGCACGGGTGAACAGCTCCACGGGTGAACATCAGGACAAGTCTGAGGCTTTCCAGACCTTGTATTGTCTTGGAACAGTATTCGAGGAGAGAAAACAATGTTTTTTTTACGCTGTATGGGCTGCAGTGGTTTTACGTTTAACTTTATGGTATTGGACTTAAAAAAAAAATTATTCTGTACCAACTGGAGGTTTTTTTTTTGTATTACATTTTTAACTTTTTTTGTGGTGATAAGAGGTCAAGGTTTGTTTGCTCACTATTAAGGCAGCTTTTACTTTGTGTAGTGTGTATTCTACACGTTATTAGGACACATTGTCTTAATTCCATACTTCCTGAAAAGCAGTTATAACATGTATTTTATAAGAATAACAAAGCTTTATTAATGAGCTCTTGGTTTTGTTTATGGATGCAGTACTTTTGGTGCTATTTTTTGTTGAAATGCTTGATTATGTTTTCACAGCATATTTGTTAGCTTGGTTTCAGGATAATATACTAATTTCACAAAAAGAAAAGGAGGACTTGTGGCACCTTAGAGACTAACAAATTTATTTGAGCATAAGCTTTCGTGAGCTCCAGCTCACTTCAGCGGATGCATTCAGTGGAAAATACAGTGGGGAGATTTATATTCAGAGAACATGAAACAATGGGTGTTACCATACACACTCTAACGAGAGTGATCAGGTAAGATGAGCTATTACCAGCAGGAGAATGCTGAATTGGAATTAATTTGCAAACTGGATACAATTAACTTAGGCTTGAATAAAGACTGGAAGTGGATGGGTCATTACACAAAGTAAAACTATTTCCCCATGTTTATTCCCCCAACCCCACCCCCAGCTGTTCCTCAGGTCTTCTTGTCAACTGCTGGAAATGGCCCACCTTGATTATCACTATAAAAGGTTTCGGTCCCTCCCTCCCCCGCCCCCCCAACCCCCCCCCGCTTGCCTGCTGGTAATAGCACATCTTACCTGATCACTCTCTCCTTACAGTGTGTATGGTAACACCCATTGTTTCATGTTCTCTGTGTATATAAATCTCCCCACTGTATTTTCCACTGAATGCATCCGATGAAGTGAACTGTAGCTCACAAAAGCTTATGCTCAAATAAATTTGTTAGTCTCTAAGTCCTCCTTTTCTTTTTGCAGATACAGACTAACGCTGCTGTTACTCTGATACTGATTTCAAACAGTCCAGTTCCGTGCCTGTTTTATTAAGTTTATTTTGGTGTAGTTGCTCCCTATCTTGGCAGTCTTACACATTCTGTACATTTTTGTGTAGAAAGTTTTTAATGATTTTTAACTATGTTACCAAATCTTAGCGGGCACAGTTTTTTAGGTAACCTCACATTGGTGAAATTTAGTAACAATGACACAAGTAAACAGAACATTTTTGTTCAGTATTTTTAGTAGGTCTTAACTCTAAACTATTTGGACCTGTTTCCAATTTCAGGCATTTTAGTCTCTTTTATTTACAAAACTCCACCATACAGTTTTTTTTATTCCCTTAGTAATATTTATTTTATGCCACAGTTAATTAAATCTTCTGGATAGAAATTTGAATGGTTGGAGGTTTTGTGTTTTGAATGGCCACTGCACCATTTAAAGTAGTTTTATTATTCATAATTAATAACCTGTTAAAGGAAAACAGAATTTGGATGGCACTGGTTGGGCTTCATTTCTTTATTTAAGAAGTAGAAGCAGTCAAACCATATAGAAATCTCTATTTCCTTTCTCGTGACTTTGACAAAAAAGTCCATAGTCTAGTAATTCAAATCAAATAGTCACTGTGTACTTGCAGTGTCATTTACAATTGATTATTTATAGACACATTCATCAGGAAGAGCCCATTTCCTCCAGAATGGCTATGAACACTTCTAATGGGGAAAAAACATAGTGGTGCTAATTGTCATCACCTGACCTCTTCTTTGCACAATTTGTTTTATTACTAAGGGTTTCCACGGAAGTGATTGCACTGAGTTATACTACACCTCTACTCCGATATAACGCGACCTGATGTAACATGGTGAAGCAGCACTTGGGGGGGAGGGGGCAGGGCGCTGCGCGCTCCGGTGGATCAAAGCAAGTTCGATATAACGCGGTTTCACCTATAACGCGGTAAGATTTTTTGGCTCCCGAGGACAGTGTTATATTGGGGTAGAGGTGTACTATAACTGGGTTTCATTATTAAACCAAGAATTCTCGTCTTTAACAATTTAATGTCCTCTTTAGTGCTTTTACTTTAACATTTTCACATTCCTCTACTGTTTAATTCCCTCTGAACTTTGCAGTGTTTATTTGTGCAAAAACTTTTTTGAAGTAACACATTTTTAGCTAATTTTTTGGTGGCTTTAAGTTGGGGGTTTTTTGCATTTATTTTTTAATGTAGTTCATTTTGCCTGCAACACTGTATTTAGTAAATATAGTCCTTGAAGTGTGGCATATTTTTGCTTTGGATTTGTACTAATAGGTAACAGACATTGGCTTTTTTGACCTTTTAGGAATTTGTTTTATTTAGTATGTCCAGTTAGTCATGTCAAGCCAGACCTACAGTCAGCAGCTTTCATGTTTATTACAGTTAGAATGAGGCGTAATCACTCAGTTAATACAACACTGGGTGAAGACTGAAGAATATGATGAGTTAGCCATCTTTATATAGAACTATCATTGGATCCCTACCCACCTTCCAGAAATTTCTAGTTTCTGGCAACTAAATCCATTTACACTTCACAACTTCACCTGTTCCCTTCAGTATCCAGGGACAGTTGATTCTGTCCTCCAGCCACCCCTCTCTCCAAAAACCAGTTAACCTCTCCATCTATTCTCCCTATCATCCAGGCTTCTAACAGTAACAACTTCCTTATTGTTTCCTAAGACTTTCTGATTGTTTTCCCTTTGTAGATTAAATCTTTCATTTTAATACTTGAATTAAAAAGGTGAATGTGTCAGGTATTAAACTTTCAAACATTATGTTTCTGTAGCTATTTAATGGCATAAATTCACAATAAAGGAATGTTTGCCAGATTTTTTTTTTTAAAAAACCTTGATAAACTCTCTCACATCCTCTGTGCTGTCCACTGTGTCCATTTACCCCTCTTTCAACCCAGTGCTTGCATAATCTACTCTCCCTGATGTGTGAGACTGTACCATTTAGTTAAAGCTGTGGATTACTTTGGGTACATCATAAAAAAATTTGAGTCCATCTCCTTCTAACTTTACTAGCATAAATTTTTGGTTTATATAAACATTTGGTGATTCGAAGGTCTCATTTAAGCCTCCACTCATTTGTCACTCAGTGATCAGCAGATGTTCTGAAGACTAGGTTCCTTCTACCGGTCTGGAACACACTTGTTAGACAAGTCTAATTTCTAGGAAGAGCAAGATATTCAACTCCGCAGTATGGCTTATTTAGTTATACTTTGTGGGATTGCTTCTGCTGGTTCTCTTCTGTCCTTGTTCTTATAAATCTAATAGTCTGTTTAGATGCGAGTGAGTTGTGTATAATTAACTATTTTCTACTCTGTTTTTCCTTTTTTCCTTTTACTCTGAATGTAGGATCATGGTAGATGATACGCCATGAGATGTCCCTCTTTGGCTACTCTGTGTTCTAATCCATCTACTTTCTCATTTGTTTTGATGTGATCAAGATTTGTTTAATACCAATAGGTCTTTCACTCCAGGATTTGGTTCCTCTTAAAGTTTGTGGTTCTGGTTCCCTACTTAACAGTGCTCCTCAGTCTTTGTCTTGTTCTATGCCTAAGTATTGTTTGTTCATATAACATGCAGCAACATTGTGTGTGAGTTTGCGCATGTATGCAGTAAAATTAAGTGTTCATGAAGCAATGAATGCTGTGTTTTTTTCTGGTTCCTTGTAAGTCATGCTAACCCTTTATGCCCCTTTGAATACTGTTCTTACTGGGTAGTCTGCTTTCATTATGAGTTTCTTTCTTATTTATTGTTTAATTGTTGAGCAGCGTGTCTGCTAATGAAGACTTTTTTCTCTTAATGTTGATTCTTTAACTTCTCTCCCCTTCAAAGTCCAATACTTGC